GACCGAGAGAAGCGCGCGGGCCAAATTCCGCCAATCGTACATCCACTGAGAAAGTCAAGGTGATTTTAGACAGAGCGAACGTGGCGGGCAAGCATAAACTAATGGAAAGGGAGCCAGCGACACAATGCAAATAAGAGGGATGAGCCATTGAGACGGACTGTTGTAAGTAGTGTATATACTTTATAACTATTCGAGCGTAATCTTATTAAATGACTTCATGATCGCGGCCCAATCTTCTTGCTTCCTGGAGGGTTATACGACATACCGCATCCTACTTCAACGGCTACAGAGTTACGGAATCAGTGATCCTGTGCCTGGTTGGATTGGCAACTTTCTTCACTAACGGAAGCTTCAAGTACGTGTCAGGGGATCACTCTCTTACCCGATTGAGGTTGAATGTGGTGTTCCACAAGGCTCAGCGCTGGGACCGCGCTTATTCCTGGTGTTTGTCAACGACATGGCATCAGTTATCTCCTCAAATTTCCTGCTTTTCGCCGATGACGTCAAGATATGGCGGGCGATTAGTAACAAACCAGCTCACGATCTGCTCCAACATGACCTAGATTGCATTTACGAATGGTCAAAGAGGAACATGCTTCAGTTGAACATAGCTACGTGCAAGGTGATACACTTGCGTCATCAGCCGGTGAGCGCTTACAAGCTTGGAGACCACACCTTGGAGAAGGTCTCTCAGATGCGTGACCTGGGTGTATTGGTACAGAAAGATCTCGGGTGTACAAAACAAGCAGAGAAGGCGACGAGAAGCGGCAAGCAACACTTCGGGCTTCTTCGGCCCGTTTGGACCCTCAATCTTTCCGCAAATGCTTAGCGCCTACGTGCGACCGCACGTGGTATGTACTATTCAGGCGTGGCAGAAACAGGACCTTGTTGCTCTCGAGATTCCCCAACGAAGTTCAATCAAGAACGTCAGGAGCCTCTTTCATCTGTCCTATCAGCTTAGACTGAAAACTCTAAGAATGTACAGCAGTCGATGTCGCTTTTGCGGGGGATCTCACAATGGTTTACCAGATTCTGAAGAACCCAAATCACATTTGCCGTCCGCTGCTGGAACTGAACCACAACACTAACCAAGCGGTCATTTTCTGAAACTGACAATACAGTATAGCCGGCTTGAATGCAGTAGCAATTTCTTTTCCCCACGTGTGCCAGCCTTGGGATGCCCTCCCTACTTATGTCGTCGCCGTTCCCAATCTGGCGGTATTTAAAATACGAGTTGAGGATGCGTTGTCTAAATTATATTTCATTTTATGAATTGTTAGCCAGAGGCTACAAAACGCAATCAGTGTCTAGCCAAATCCCAACCAATGGATTTATGGATTCAAACGTTTAATACGTGAACATCTCCGCTATTCTACATAAGTCGATGGTGAGTCCACCAAAGCGCTTTTCATTTTATCATGCAATTCAATTTTTGCAATAATTTCCATCCAACAGGACTTGTTAAGCAACGCTTTTTTATCCGTAAGAAACTACTGTTCCATTGCCTCCGCCCTCCAAATCTGTTCGGAGAGAGGAAGTCAGTGCATTGCAGAGGACCACGCTAGCGTCGTTGAATAGCGCGGGTGCGAGGGAATCCGGGCCAGCAGCACGAAAACGATTGAGGGCAGTGATCACGTTTTGCACCTCAGCCTCCGACGGACTCTCTAAATTAACCGGCCATTGCTAGGCCTGCAACACATGAGTTGAAAGTGGCCTATAAGCAGGGGAACACTGAACTGCTTTCGAAAGCGCTCAGCTCAACGGGATCCTTATTGTGAATCAAGGCACCCGCACTGCCTATGATTGTCTCACCGATGCCTTATTTGATGGGAGCGGTGGTGCGAATCAGTTGGAGGAGTGCGACAATTGTCTACTGATTCTGCTTCCTTCATTCATTCCTTGAGGAATGACTGGTCCACTAGGCTTCCTTGTCAGCACTCAGGCTCCGCCTTAGTTCGCGCCTGATAGTCCATCTGATCACATTGTGCTGACGCAAATGGGAGTTTTCTTCTGGATTCCAACAAGTTCACCAACCTGTCGGATGTCCAGTGAAACGATGACGCTTATATAGTGTCGCAAGCGGATGCTCCTATATGTTGCATGTTGGCCGAGATACTATTCCACTGAAGCTGGCATTAGGACAAAAGAGGGAAAGTTCGGTACGCAGTGCATCTTGGTCGCTTGCCTGACCGAGCGCTGAGATAACTTCTAAGTTGCCAGTCGAGGAAGGCGCTTGGTACGCCTCCCGATAGAGGTAAGAGAAAAACGACAGCGTACCGAGGCACGATCGGAGTCGACGCAAGTACTCCAGAAACAGCGACAATCCAAGATGGAACCACGCCACCTGTAACTTTCGGAAACGCAATCTATTTGGATCCATCGCTGGTCAGCTACAGGATGCCAAGAGGCACTTTGGCGCCCACTGTGTCTAAAAGCGGTACTACTAAGAAAGAGTTAGTTCTTCGCACACAGCTGTAACGGACACTCATCGTTGTCCGTCCGTTCGGAGTTAAGTACATACTTACCACCTACTTGCGCATTCATATCGCCTGCAAGAACTATGATATCTGAACTGGTAGCACTGCGCAGTAACATGTTCAGTTCATGATAGAAAGCGTCCTCGCAGCATCACAGCTGCAATCGAGGAGGGCACAAACAGAAATCACGAAAAAACAGCGTCTAGCGCCAATACGTGAAGCAACCTTAGTTGATGTCGTCAAACGGACCACATATGAAGAGCTGTTTAAGAAAATCCAATCAACCAGCGGTGACTCAGTCTTGGAGCTCAGAATGATGCTCACTCCAGCTTGACCAGTGGTTGCCACATCTGCGGCTCCGAATGTGTACAACCAATAGGGAGAGGACAAACCGGATGTAGTTCACCCAACAAGCGTGTGGGTGATATTGATCCTAGTTTTGTACACACAACACGTCAATACCCAGTGTGTCTAACGTGCGTGTGAGTGCAGCCTGTTGACCTATTTGTCTTAGAGTGCGAAGGTTGAACGCCGCCAGGGAAACGGGACAGTGTGTCTTTACGAGGAGCTGTTGGCGTTTAGTGTCCAGTGGGTGGTGTGGGAACATAGCTGCAGGTGATACGACTCCACGAGACTGCGGTTGCTGTCAACTAGACTGAATCATAGGATGAAGGCTAGTAATGGGGGAACTGGGAGGAGAGTAGTAAGAGAAGTTTGGAAAAAAATAAGGGAGGCACCAGAAGAAGCATGTTTTGGCGATCCATGCTGCCGTATGCAGCAGCTGCGTGACGGCCGATGTAGGATAGGGTTGAAGTTTGAAGAATTAGTCATGGTTGTACGTAGGCTGAGTACACCCAGACTTAGAGAGAAGAACGATTAGGGTCCATACACAAAGCCTTTGGCTCAAAAGCCTGTCCATAAGGCAGCGGACGTGGTTTTGAATCGGTTGTAGAGATATGGACGCCATCCCATTTCAAACCCCCAACCTGGATGACTAGAAGACTGTTCGTCTGACCTCTAACGATTGACCAACCTGGTAGGAGTAGCGCTTAGGAGGCCCAAGCGCCCCACCCAGTATAGATCAATGGGTAGACAAGGTACGCAAAGCGTTAAGGTCAAACCTCGTTCCACGGACAAGATGAGTCGTGGAAATCCGAATGAAACCTCGCATGGAAGTAGGTCCCTAGGAGACGTTTCCATGGACGGTGGTGGTATTACTGAACTTCAAATACTGGCCAAAGCTACATTCATGCTTCCTCTCTACTTTTCATATTTCGATTACTTTTAATCACTAGAACACCCGAAGAAGCCTTCTGGGAAGTATCTTGTGAAACTCAAATTACGTTGCACAGAGAATGATAAGAATACATGTTTGGTCTGAGTGTCGTACCGTCGAAACATATCATTTCGTAACGGTTGATGACTGATTGGATCATTTAGTGGTACTCGTTGTGGGAATGGATTACCACGCGAAATCTCAAGGTGCGCTGTGAGTCGCATTGAGTTGGGGCTTGCTCAAATCAATCACCGAGACCGTGTGGGATGGAAAAGGCAGAGTTTTGGTGTTACACTGGTTTCAGGTAGGCAGCACCCAATATCTATCTAGATCTATTTTATCCTTAGCAGTTATATGTTAAACTTCTCGTGGTGCAGTCACGCTCAACGTTATTTTCGTGAGAGATAGGCGCACTGGTGCCGAAGGTTTTACCTCTTAATTCACATAGATTTGAGGTACCTCGGGGATTTTAGCGGAACGTCAGGTCAATGCAAATATGTGTGTGTTGCTACTTTGCGCTGCACGTCATCTGTCTGATGGATTGCGCATGAATGCTAAGAAGGCTTGGATAACTTTTTGTCTATAGTTTTCGGATCTTTCAAGTGACACAACTATAACCGCAATTAACTGCAGTCGACTATTTCGCGGATTGGTGCCCTGCCGGGTAGGAGTAAGTTGGTTCGTGGATGGCGACAGCATAATGGTGAGTAATTTTCCTTACGAAAACAACACTCGTGGCGATTTTATAAACCGATTTCACTTTAAAACACCAGCAGATTGTTATCGGTCATGGTTAGGATTTTATACAAGACCTCCAAAGTGAGATATCACAAGACTAATGTGTCTGGCTTGATCGCTAAGAGGAGTCCTGGAGCGTATAACAACTGGCAGATTATGCGGGCACAGTTGTAGTATGGTTTGATCCCAGTGGATGAAGTATAAGAGATCGAACAATCGAAGAATTAGACCCCCGCTTCGCATATCGTAGGTGAGAATCTCGCGATGCAAATACGTCTCTGATGTCTTAGCACTAAGTACTACCCCCATCCCAAGGCTTTTTCAGCCTTGGCTAGACTGGCTGTTCTTTGCTTGCCTACCAGAAAAATTCATCAGATCGCCCTTAGTTTCCAATAACTGGATGAGATAACTTCATGCGCTTGCAGCTCGACCAGTGGGATGATAACCACGTGACTGATGTAAGACGAGTGTAGCTCAGCGTGGTCAGAGAGACGAGAGAAAAGTTACAATTGTTCAAGAAGGCCACTTGAAATCTTATGGTCAGCAATAGGTAGACTTGGCGGTAACATATGTAACCAGCAGATGAATTGTGACAGGAAAGGCGCTTCGAATAAGTGTATGCAGGTGGAATTACAATTTCTAAAGAACCAACTTTCGCAGATGAATTGCATTTCATGGGCGTCCGAAAAGTCAAACGCGTTTGGCGGATGATGGTAAGCATAAGAAATCAACAAAGAAAAAAGCACAATTTCGGTATAAACTAAGATTGTTCTCAAAATGAAGCAGCAAAATTTGGCTAGAAAAACGCCGATGTGATTGGAGACGATAGAGAAACGGCCACCTTTAGAAAAGTACAGGAAAATGGAAACAGTCCTGTACCGACTACCGTGAAAGAAGACAATCTCGCGCCCCAAGAATTCACAGACAGGAGCGGTTGAGTGAATTTCGCTTAGGGTAATTCAGACAAGTCATAGAGAAGCTCGGTGTACAATCTGCATCCATTTAGAAATTCCTCTTCGGTAACGTATTCGTCGTGATCGTGGAGTAGAACAGGCGTCCGACGAATCGGAGTAAATCCGATGGCTTGTATTCTTCTGCAGCCTGGGGCAGCGTTGGCGGTGCGGTGAAACTGACGAACGAATCGGGAATCGGTAGCTCCAGGAAAGATGCGTTTACTGACATCAGCACCAAAACGTTGACAGACTTTTGTCAACGTGGACCAAAAGGGGCATGTCTTCTCGTCGGGAATAGGAGCAGCCTCCCAAGTATCGGGTGCAGTAGTGACATATTCAAACTGAGATGGGGAAATTAGAAAAACATATAGTTTACCGTGCACTATGAATTCAATCGCAGGAGTTATTTCGAAAAAATCGGCGTCAATGAACTATGATTTTTATACGCGTTAAGAAGCACTGCTTTACTAGCTCCGCTGAGTGATCTGGTGGATTAACGAAAAACGTTAATGAAAAGGAATATTCAGTTGGACAAAATAATGAGATACTCGTATTTAATGCAGTAGCCCTGTACTCTGGGTTTTCCATAGCTACAATAGGCGAAAATCAAAAGTGCAAGAAGAAACCACATTTTATCAGGATATACTGAACTCAGTAATTCCCTGTGTTCTCCCCAGCTGTTTACAAACAATTTGTGGAAAAGATAGGCTACATAGCAAGGGAGATCAAGTTGCAATGTTATCGGCGAAGCTTTAAAGCGGTCGAAAGTCGGTGAGTTCACGTGACCCGGTCAGACGAAAGATGACCCTAGCCTCACCAAGCTAGGGCGAGGCTGATCACCAAGTCCGTTTGTTTGCACAAACTTGGTTTCAACCGGCGAAACGCCGAGGCCTCAACAAACCGAAGTAGACGAGGACTGCTGTTAGTTGATTACCTTAAACCCACCACGTGAGTTTTCGCATACAAGGCAGTCAAGTATGTGGCGTACAATCCAGCTGGTGGGTTGTTTCCGGCCATTTGCATGTACCGGTACATGTACGAAAAAGAGAGAAGGCATGCCGACGACTGTCAAAAGGCATGAAAGCTCTTAGTTCGAAGCTGGGCTCCGTTGGAGTCTATCGGCTTCCTAGTTGGGATCCTGAAGGACGATGAATACGTTTGGCTGGATACACATGTTGACATAGCGCAGAACGGGCTTCAGTGGCATTGGCCTTTCCCATTTCCGATTAGCTCCCCTCAACCGTGATCTCGGTCTCCAAGGGCATAATATAATTCTCATGTTGCTCTGATTTTGTTACCCTTGTATTTCTTCTTGGTATCATCAAATCGGCTCAAACTGCAACACAATAGCTGAGGTGGTTTCCACTCCTGTATAAAAAAACCTATAAGGATCCATTCAGCTGAATGGAGAAACATGTTTGCGTGTGCGAGACAGTTAGACACAGAGAAGCCGGCAGAGCATGAGGTATGGTGTCGAACAACGCGTGTCAAGAAAGCGGCCAAGCGGAAGGGACCAGGGCAATGTCAGGAAAGTGAACTCCTACGGATGCTGAGAGAAGGGAAAGCGATCTCGCTTGTTTTAGCCAGCCAGGTTCGGATTTTCGAATGCGCTCATACAATACAACCAAAAGGCATTGACGCCCCTCCCCGCTGCAATGAATGGCGGGAGTAAGAGAAGAGAATCGCTGAACAGCGGCTAACAGATTCTTCACAAAACCTTTTCCCGAGAGATGCCAATGTAAGATGAAAATCCGCAACTCTCTGATCAAGGAGGACGTGGATTAAAAAAACGAGATAATTTATGTAGGTTTTCGAAATAAAATGGATGATTGGAAACCAGGATTAATACCAGAATGAAAACAGCTTACGTACCTCTATTCCACCTCCGGCTTCCTCTGCCCACTGATTCAGTTGGTCCTTCCAAGCGCTCAGTGACACAGAAGGAGGTAGTCGCACGTCGAACCAGGCAGACAGAGTTGATGGAAGGACGTTGGGTTGTGAACCACCGGCCAACATGGTCAAATTAACTGAGGTCACATCACCCAAAGTCAAATTTCCGTTGGAACGGTCCAAACGATCTTTCTCCGCAGAGCGAAGATTCGCGACGCTGAAGGTTGTAAAAATTGGCTGTAAAGTGGCAAACATAAGATGTGTGGCAAAGCACAAGCGTCTCAGATGCAAAATTGCCTGGAAAGTGAGGAAATAATGTGAATCACTTCAAAGAGTGAATGAGTGAGATGGGTGATTGGTGACGAGTGTGAAAGGCGGGTGATGATGAGATACACTGGGAACATTTGTAGCAACCTAAAAATGCAAGGGCAATAAAACGTAAGGACCAGATTTCCGACAAGGGCTGCAGATTGAGTTCGTTGAATGTGTACGAAATACGCTTGGATGCCATAGAGTTCAGAGACCGAACGAACGCAAAAAGCAAAGCATCCAGTTTGGAGCTGGCAAAACTTGCATTAAAGAGAGGATAGAACAGACTACAAAATATAGGGGGTAGTAAGCAAAGAAATGTCTCGGCGAATTAACTCAAAAGACAAGCCTACAACCTCGTGAATCAGAATGGTTCAGGGAAAACGGTTTAGCCGATGGAGCAGCAAGCCTTGGGCGAACAATGGGTCCTTTCCTCCGGGTTGCGCTTGAACTATTTACGTCTACTTTCGTCCAATGTGTTTGGTGGGGATGGTCAGTACCATGGATAACCCCATAGTCATGCTTGCTGTCCGTCGCCATGGGATAGGGTGCCAGAAACCTGAGTCGCAATATCATGGCTTCGATTTCCCATCATACTGAATTGCGCACGGGAAAGAGTGAAGCGGACGTCCACTGTTTGCCCGGCGATCTGACTAAGTTCAACTCTAACAATCGTCGGCAAGGGATTCGTGATGTGATGGACCAAGCGTCGGGCATGCGAGTTCTAGGCCCCCGAGTTCGAATCCATGCAGGGTTTGGATGACCCTGCAGTGTGCCATCTCAGTTGCAACCGGTTTAAGGTACAACAATACAGAATACTGGCGTACTGCGGCTATATTCTTATTTACAAGTAAAGAAGCAAATGAAGTTGAAAACTGTCCACTGATGTAGAGAAGTGGGGGATTGAGGAGGTCGTGTGCAACGAATAAGACGTAACTCAGATGCATCCGTACCGATTAGTGTTCACCAAGAGAAGGACAGATATGAATAGGTATCAGCTTGGAAGTGACAAAGTGTGCACTAAGTTCAGGTAGTAATACAGGACCATTGTTAACTTGGTCAGCAAACATGTGAAAACGCACAAATAATGTCCATGGGGGGAAAACAATGCATCAGGAGATTAATGGAAAACGGAGCTGTTGCAAGAAAGCCGAGAAATGCCCCCCCAGAAGTCACACATCAATTTGGCAGTCTAGAGTTAAGGTTTATTTATCAGGCACAGTAGACTGTGATTTCAAAGCTATATTGAAAATCTCCCTTTGATGAGTTGATCAAGAGTAGCAACTGACCGTTGAAGAAAGCAGGTGAGTTTTTCGCCAGCTGTTCCCTCCAAAAGTGACAGGCCGTGACCAGCAACGCCATGAAAATGAGCTATAAACCAACAATATCGTCGTTCGTCGTAGAAAGCTTCGTAGTCATTTGTGGCGCTGACCAAACCTTCGTCAAGACAAAATCCGACATTGAGTTCAGAAAATGTTAACTTCGTAGGAGGATCCTGCTTCAAGCTTGGCCTTCCCTCAACGAACGGTTCCATGCCGCGTTTACCACCGAGCTCTTCATCGGGAACAAAACTCAAGTAGACGGTACGGCGCAGCTGCGTGGTGCCACGAGCCTTCAAACGGCGCACAGCTTCTAGCTGTTGCATTCCAACACACTTCATGTCCTGTTGAATTTGAAAGGCAGAGTTTAGCGTGACGCGGTTTCTCAGAGTTCGGTGTCGACGATGATCAGGGTGAAATAAGAGGACACAAGAAATAGTTGTGAAACAGCGAGCAAGCTAACTAGTTAGAAGGCAATAAAATGTATGCAGCGTATTTTTGGTATGAGCTACTCTGATAACAGAGCTTATAACAATTATGAACGGACATCACAATCGGCAGTGTAGAAGTGAGTTGAAATGACGTTCCATTACCGCACCACTATGACCAATGGAATGAGTGGACATGTAAAAATTAGATGTCCCAAGTAAACCAAGCAAGGCTAACGCACCTCGCCTTGTCAACAACACACGGTCACAAATAACTGGATGTTGTGTGAGGATATGGTGACAACGTTGATACAGTTTCCTTGCGGTTTTCACTGGTTCGCATCATCATCAACCGCATTCCGCAAATAACGTAACGGCAGTCAGTCAGTCCGACTAGAAGACGACAATAAACGCGCCACTGTAAAGTCTCGAGCCAAGAATCACAAGACGGTTCGTGTGGATTCCAATCTAGAAGGTGAACTAGATCAACGGCATCTAGTTTAGACAGCGGTGATTTCAGTCTCCGTTAACAAGACAATATGAGCCACCCCGCGTCGAGCTATGCACATGGGGCAAACAAGGTGACACTTTCAAATGCGGTGAGCGGGCATATGCAGCCTCTTCCCAAGTTATTTGTTTAATGCTATAAAGAACTAACTTGAATATCAACAACAGGTGCGCATTTGTGCATAACAATGATGTGAAGTCAACCACTATGAAAGCATACAAGGCATTTTAGAACAAAAGGCGGACAAAGCAGACCAAATTTCCAAATGGGAGGTTTAGCCCTCATGTCCTGTGATGGAATGACAATTCATATCTGTTGTCAAATGTGCCGTCAATGCATAAGGATGGTTTCAGCTACCATAACACGTGAGCCAAATTCCTTAGTTGATACCCTGGGATACATTTGAAACCGAACAGGAAATTAACCAATCAGAAGAATTTGTGAACAATCAGATAGTATATTTGTCACATTAATATGCGTGTGGTTGGCTTGTCGAACAACCTCCTCGTGGTGCCAGCTTGGTGGTTCGGGATTTTCCTGTTCCAGCAAATGGTTCGGCGGCAATGTTCCAGGACGTGGTGGGTTTTCGCCTGGCAAGCGTTCTCCCTATAAAAAACCACATATGTCCGTTTAACAACACTGTGACAAGGCGGACGTGATGCCACTAAATAAAGTCACTTCTCCTCGCCTATCTCTGAGCGGCACTGTAATTCAAGGGCGTGTTAAGCCCCTGGTCCTATGCGGTCCTAAAGGCGTATGAAGCACCTGTTTGGTCACTGGCTCCCAACGGGTTACGATACCCTCATGTCGCCCTGATGATTTGTAGGTTAGATCTTGGATCAAAGGCTCGGGGTGCGCCCCCCTGAGACAACCCTCTACTGCGGCCTGTGCAACCGGGTAGTATCACGCCTACTGACGAACCATAGATAGATTACACTACTGCTTTCCCTCTTGCTATGTCTACTGGCTTCATCGTCTCTGCTGCTCAACATCTGCTCACAGATCGTCCCACGTCCCGTTCTTCAACTGCACCTATGTCCTCCCCGATCATTGTCAACAACAGTTCACTGGTCGCATCTGACAGAGTTCTGAGTCAAACGTTTGGTGTTCGTTGCCTAGCGGTCACAACATCCTCACACTCAACCGAAACCCAAGCTTTCCTTCGTTCTGGTTCTCCATTCGACCTTGCAGTGTTCAATGTGCGCACTCTGATGCAGATCGGACGACTAGCATGTCTGACCCGCACACGTAAGACACTCTCGGTGGACATCTGTTGCCTTTCCGAAACCAGGTTGCAAGAAGTTAGTACCATCATCAGAATGACATCTCCGGCAAACCCTGATGTCAAATACCACTTGCGCGTTTCCGGAGACCCAGAGGCCGCCACTTCTGGCCAAGGTGGTTTCGGACTTGAACTGAATGACGGCTGAGGTCGCTTTGCTTGACTGGATCCCAGTAAACAGTCGGCTATGTGCAATCAGACTAGGAGGTTCATGCAAGGTAAGTAAGCACCCAGATGTTACGCGTGCCTTGTTTGTCATCTCCGTCTATGCTCCTCCAAACTACAGCCCGGATGCAGTCAAGGACTGCTTTTACCAACAGCTACAGAAGCTTTTGAGTTGCGCTAAGAAGTCTGACATTGTCATTCTTGCCGGAGATTTTAACGCACGAGTGGGCCGCCTGCGACCAAGCGAGCACCATCTTGGGGGGGGGGGGGAGTTTTGGCCTCGGTAGCAACAGATCAGACAATTTAGACAGATTACAGAATCTTTTGTGTTGATTATCGCATGTTTCTTTGGAGTACAAATTTTCGGCATTCGAAAACACAGACTGCTACCTGGCGTCCGCCTTCTCAAACACAAGAATGGTCCCAGCTTGACCACATAGCAATAAGCTACAGATGGAGCAGAAGCGTAACAGACTGCCGATCGTACTGGCCAACTTGTCTGGAATCTGATGACGCACTAGTTCGCGCCGAAATTCGCATGCGTTTCGGAGGAGCATCCAGCAGTACGCACTACCGGCTGAATGTCGAAAATCTGCAAAATCCTGCGACGTTAGCCAAGCACCAGGGTTCTCTGTCAACACTAATAGCTTCATCCTCTGACGATGGTCTCAATTCGCAATGGATGAGCGTCAAAGACGCCTTAATTTCTGCCAGTACTGCCAGTAGTGGATTTGCTTGTCATCCACCGATAAGCTGGATCACAACTGCCTCCTTGTTGCTAATGGACAGACGCCGCTTGATCCCAGCCGACACCAGATGTAATGAGAAGATCCGACCCCTGGATCGAGGGTTGCGCAGGAGCTCACAGAAGGACAGTGAGACCTAGTGGTGTGAACACACTAGAGAGCTTGAACTTGCTAAGCTCTCTGGTTATACCAGAAAACTGTTCCACCTCATCCGAGTCACCGAAGGTTTCCGATCAGGAATAAGCGAAACAATCTGTGAAGATGATGGCTCCCTAACCGTAATCTTCAACAACGGTTGGAGCGATAGGTCGAACATTTTCGCTCGCAGTTTTCCTGGCCGCCAGCTCCATCTGCTTCCCCTGGGGCGCTCACTGGTGTTGACTGGACTATCCCAAATGATCCTCCCTCTCACCATGAAATCTGGCGGGAACTCTGCTGCCTAAAGCGTTAAAAGATATTCGGCCCTGATGGTCTACCTTCTGCTCTATTTAAAGATGGAGACTTCGCTGGTTCGAGAACTCACCGCCTTGTTTTCAGAAGTCTGGGCAAAAGAAGAGGTTCTATCATTCTATCATCTTCAAAAGGGTCTACGCACAAATGGCTCCAAACACAGGGGCATAAGTTTGGTTTCCGTAGTTTGCAAGACTCTGGTGTCCATCGTTCTTCGCAGGCTATCCTCAGCGCGTGAATCACTACAGCGAGAACAGGCAGGGTTCCGCCATTGTCGCGGATGCATCGATCAGATTTTCACACTCCGCCAGATTCTCGAGCTCCGCCATGTGTATCAAAAGCCAACGATGGTTGTGCTCCTGGATACCCGTGCTGCCTTCAATTCTGTCGACAGGGCTGCATTGTGGCACTGTCTGTTGAGGAATGGTGTTCCCGGGAAGTTCGTTTCCATCCTGCGTGCTCTGTATAGTCTGACCTCGGGCAGAGTTATGGCTTATGGCGAGCTTTCGTCTTCCTTCGTTGTCACCAGTGGGGTTCGACAAGGATGTCCTATTTCTCCATTCCTCTTCAAGTTTGCCATCGAGGATGTCCTCAAAAATGCTCTAGACTTGGTGAACGTTGGCGTTGGGCTCTTCCCAGGTAGGCGGGTGGTTGATTTGGAGTACACTGATGACATCGTCTTGTTGGATGACGGTCCGCAGGTCGCCCAAATTGCACTTAACCGCTTGGCGATTGAAGCGTTGAAGTATGCTATGCGCTTTACACCATTCAAGTGCAAAGCACCTTTTGAAGACTGGTATACGCCCCCTACCTACACTCACCATCGATGAGGAAACATTATAAGTAGTACAGAGTTTTTCCTACCGGAGAAGCAGCATAAAACTGCTGGAGGGGCTGTTGGAAACGAGATTTCGATGCGTATCTCAAGCACTTGTCACGCCTACTCCAGGCAGGCATTTATGGCGCCGCCATGACATCCGTCTCGTCATCAAAAGATGAGTTTATAGTGCTAATGTCCTGTACTGCGTATGCCCGTTCAACGTATTCCACGTAGTGCCTTATTCGCGGTCGCTGGACAGGGTTAAAGGAGGTGGACAGCCTACAACTTGGAGAAGCAGGATGAAAAAGCTGACAAACAGTTGGCCACCGTTGGTTCCTTCCAAATCCCTGGATGGGGTCCCAAGGATGCTGAGTGCAGTTGGTTGAAAATGTTGGAAGTCATGGCTCGAAAGCGAACTCAAAGGCAGGCGTGTATCTCCGCTTGTTGCGGTGGTTCCCCTTCCTTCCCCGAATAAAAGGCATCAAAAAACCCAAAAACTGTGGGTGGAAAAATAGACAAAACATCGCCTGTTTTCTTTCTTTTACTCTAACCTAGTTTTCCTATTCCGCCATGCTTCCGATGGCACAATATATGTACACAGATTGTGATTAATATATATTAATACGCGTGTACTACCAGTGTAATCAGTGTGATAGGTGAGTAAAGAAAGGGATGGCAGTTAACTATAGCATTTCAAAGGCACACTGTACTTTAATAGTGTAAGGCGGGAGTCAAAGGATGGGACCACGCAAAACCGATTGCCCCGCAAAGACTGCCAACCCTTGGTTGTCAAATAGTCAGCCGATGTCTTTCGCCTCATTTCGACAAACCGGTTTTTCACAGAGGAACCCCTCAAAACCAGTCTCGTGAAATTTCGCAAGGGAAGAATATGCGTATTCCTGCATCTAGTCAGCGCTGAATTCTTGTGGGTCACACCGTCATCAG